ACCCAGAGGGACTGGGTGAAGTGTGTATTGCGTGTAAGGTTTTTGCATGTCCTTTTTCTTGACCAACATTCTATTTTCCCTCTTTTTCATAAGATAAATACCCTCTATGAAACAGAACCTGAGGGGCACAATTTAGAGGTATTAGGTGACCTAGTTCTGCCATTCTGATGCCTTTGAACTAAATTGTTTTGGTCTGTGGTATCTCCTTTCCACTGACCGTATTGCTGCAAAGTAACCCCCATTTTAATATACGTGAGGATTTATGCTTCAGGTTTCTTGCACACACTTGGACTGCCTAGGACATTTTAATCAGCATATTGACATCACAACTGATAGGTTTGCTTTTATTTCTAGGTTCATGGAACAGCACCAGACATTGCAGGCAAAGACATGGCAAATCCAACTGCCCTCCTCCTGAGTGCTGTGATGATGCTGCGTCACATGGGACTACACAAACATGCCACAAAAATAGAGACAGCTTGCTTTGATACCATTAAAGATGGAAAGGTAATAGGAGGGGGTGCAAATAAATGCACTAAATATGATATGATTTTAGTGAACTAAAATAATATTATATCACAGCAAAAATTAACTCAGAACGTGACCACCAGAAGGGTGGCTGACCTGCTGTGCTGGCCTGTTGCATGAGCAGTGCCACTGTCCTTCTCTGGCAGTAATTATATTATCTTTGGTGGTATTAAGCCTGCCCTTCTCAGTAATTAGGGATGGGCTGTAGCATTCCTGGTGTCTCAGTAATGCTCATCTCACATTTCTACAGCTTTGTGAACTCTAAAAGCTTGAACTGGATATTTGTTTTTCAGGGAGGGGATTAGAGGTTTAAGTAACTGGTAGCATTTCACTTATAAAGTTTATAAAACATACAATGCATGTATATTTAAATCTGGATCCTGAAGTAAAGGACATTCATTTGCCTTTCATGGGCCTTAATCAGCCACTTAGTTTATAGCATTCCAATCCTGACTGTAATACTTCTGTTCCTATTTTTTCAGCTCAGTTATTTTCTTTTTTCTTCCTTACTGCTTTCACTCCTTTTTGAACTACAGTTTTTATCCAATATTTACCTTTTCCCTTGAGATGATACAGGATTTCCCTTTGGCAGTAGGTGTCTCCAGATTTAAGACTCGAATAGGGTATTTGGGGCTGAGGAAGGACTTATGCTCTGAAACTTCACTTGAATTTGTGCTCTTACCATTATTGGTTCACTGCTCTGCTTTGATGTCCGTCTTTTCAAAACAAAGTTGGAAAGATCCTGGAGCTGGCAGTTAAGGAGGATGAGCAGTTAGCCATGCTGGTTCAGTTACCTTAGCAGGACCACAGGAAGCTGCTTGGTAATTAAAATAACAAGCATGCTGAAAACCAAAAGTTGTCATCACTTTGCAAGTGGTCTGTTTGCAGCTACCTTACTGTGTTAAAAAACACCTGAACTTACAAGTGAATAAAGAGGTGCTCCTGTAAAGTTCCCATTTACTGCTCTGGAAGTGGAATCCTCCATCTGCAGGTCAGTAATTCTATGGAAGATAACACAGGGCAAGTTTTGTGACATGGCTAGTTGTTCTCCAGTTACTTAAAACATTATAATTATATGCTCACAATGGAGAGAATCTTTTTATTTGAATGTTAATGCAGTTAAAATCACAAGGTCCTACAACAGTAACCTTGATGGCTTCTCATGCTGCTATTCCTCCCTTCCCTCAATCATTAAATTAAGAGATGTGTGTGTCATGTAAGGGGGAAACTAATGATTTTAAATTATCTCCCAGACTGCTTTAATCTAGCTAGGTTAGACCAGCCCACTTTTTATTTTACTCTCTTAAAGCTCCCAGACAGGAGTTGTACTTGATGACAAAGATGTTTAACTCTACATTTTCCGTCTCTTAACTAAACTAAGCAAACTTAAAGAATTGTTATCATGTAGCATTAAGAGTTATGTGTGCCTTTTCTGTGTGGGTTTCCTTCAAACAAACAAAACAAAGCAAACAAAAAAACCACCCTTATTAATTACTCTCAATTAGTGCTGAGCCTTCATATACGAATTTTACTTCCAAAGGACAAACTTCTTACTGAAAGCCTAAATACTTAACAGTTAATTGCACTATTATGGAGCCAAAGGACTTTGTAGAGCTTTGACCAAACACACTTTCTCCCTGCAGTTAAGATAAAATCACGTTCAAATTTGATAACATTAAAGGACTTCATGTTGATCCTCCAGTTTCTGTGCCTGTGCCAGTCCTTACTGCTGAATTCTGTGTGGGCTGCAGAGCTCCTCACACGTCCCGTGTTCCTTCTCACCCCTGTTTCCTATCCATGCACAGCATATCAGAACGTGTAGAACCGTTCAGGGACAGGACCATCCCCGTGAAACATCTCAGTAATACTATTTTTTCTTTCTTTCAGGTCTTGACAAAGGACTTGGGGGGCAATGCCAAGTGCTCGGAGTTCACAGACGAGATCTGCCGCAGGGTACGGGACAAGGACTAAACTTCCCTCACCCCGACCCCTGGAGGACGTGTCACACACAGTACATTATGTGTAACTTGATATCCATATGCAGATAGTTTGCTTATCTCTTGAGAGCAAACTTTTTAGTTAAGGCCTCTCCATTAATAAATTTAGTCCAAATGGCTACAAACGATGCTTGTGCCTGCTTTCAGTGGACTTTTCCAAGTGCTTTGTCTTATTTATTTTTTTTTCTATCTGGTGAACATTTTTATGTAAGTGAATTCTTTTATTGGCACTGTAACTGTCTACCATTTTCCATTTCAGTTAGAGGGTTTTACTTTCCACAAAGAAAAATTATGCAACTATAAACCAGTAACAGAATTAGTGAAATGTAAAAGCACCTTAATGGTTAAAACCTGCTTTATTGGTCTTGCTGAAGTTGAAAAGGTTTTCAGCCTAACAGTAGCACAAGGTGACCTTCTGAAACAGAAACGGGTATAAAATAACTTAAAATAGCAATTTCATGTTAAAAGCAATGAGAAAACCACATTAGATACTCTGGTGATGAAATACAGCCCTGCCCACCAAAGGCATGAATAAGGAAGTACAAAATTCTAGAGATTTAATCTATTTGTGTACTTTTAAAAAGCCCACAACCATTAACTAGCAAAGGGTGAGAATTAATGCTGAAGCAAAGTTATTTCTCAAATCTAGACACCACAATAATTCTTACAAGTTTTCCCTCTCTGAAATACCCTTTCCAATGGAGTTCTAATGAGGGTAAATGATATAAAATTACCTCTGCCATATATTGTGAAGGGAAAGTATTAACTTTGCAGATTTATCCTAGATATTTCATGACTTCTGCTGGAATGCTCTTTGTGTTGTAGCTTTCTGCATAGTCTGTTCAGTGTGTTCTACTGTATTGACTGGTAATTTTATCCCAAACTAAATGTAAGGGACTAGTCCTAAAGGGATTAAGACAGATCAGCGGTTTGGCTCTGGTGCCTATGTTCCAGAAATACATTTCATCCCTATTCAAGGGGATCCAAGACTTATTTTTTTTCCTTGCTTTCTAAGCTTAATAGGTGCAAAAGCAACTCTTTTCCCTCCCTCCTTCATCACGTGCAGATGGTCATACGAGTCATTCTGACCTGTATGTCCAAAGGTATCTTCCATCAGTGCCCCCAACGAGAAAATGTGTGTTTTAAAACTCATTAGTATAGCACAGGATTATCCCTACTGCCAGAACCAGGCTTCTTAAAGCTTAATTCTATTAATAGAAAGTCACTAAGTGGAGTAATAACTATTAAGACTGTTTTAGGCTGGTTGTTTCAAAGGTGGAATCGTTTCTGAGTAACGACTTCTCGTGTGGCTCTACAAAGTGAGCATCCCAGCTTTTTTATACAGTCTAACAACATGTTGGAGGAGCTTTATTCCTCAGGCACTCTGCTTTTGGTGAATAGGGCAATGTTTCTTTCCGTGTTTTACAAGCTGCTGCTTCCTTGTTTCCTTCAGATTAATATTGTTAAAGAACCTCTGAATGACCACTGCGCACAAAATGGGGAAGAATAAACTTTTCAAAGTCCTCTTGCTTGTTTTGTTTTTATAATCCTAGGCTGCTGCCTTGCCTTGTGTGTTGAGCTGGTTATTGGTACTTGCAGCTAATCTTAAGTCTACAAGATGAGACTGGTAGTGGAACTTCCATGGAAACAGTCTCCTGTTCCACATCACGTTTTCCTCTCAGGAACAGTGGCTGTAGCTGCCTGCCAAGGGTCACTCACAGCACACCCCTGACACAACTGTGCCAAGCATGTCCTCCACGTAACATGATTTATTTTTCATAGGGGTAAGAAGAAATGCAGCTCCAGAATTAGTACAATGTGAGTGTTGGCAGGTGCAGATCCACGCCAACAAACACTGCTTAAAGCAAAGCGCTGTAAACAATCTGAGAGAAGTGTCTGTTCTAAACAGCACTCCCAGGGGAGAGCTCCTATATTTACTGCTTTATGTCTTCCAGTCCTGGGGAGCTATTCCCCCAACTGTTCTGATTATCTGTTTTTAGGAGAAATAGTAATGCTTATTCCAACACGGACTTAGAAATGAGCTGCTGTTTTCACAGAAGCCACTACAGAAATGGAAGAGAACCCTTTAGGTTCTGAAATGTGTTGGTGAACAACAAGAAACTCCTGTGTAGGAGGAGAAAAAAAATTCAGCCCTTTTGATTTTTTTTTTTTTTAAATAATTCTCACTGGAGTGGTCTGGCAGTTTTATTGAGCAGTACTGCCAACTGCCAGAATGTATCCTGAGCTATGGGCAATGGCCTGTGGAACAACAGGGAAAAAGGAAAATAGGAAAATCACTATATAAAAGAATGGTTTTTCAGTCTAGAGGAATTAATTAGTTATACCCAGTTTATACAACACAGAAGGATGTTTTAATCATTTAGGTCATAAAGTAAAAATGGTATTAGAAAATGGACACACTGCAGATGCTTCTGTAAAAAGAGGACAAATGATCGGGTGAGTATCAGGAACAACTAAACTGACACAGCAGCTTTAGTGGTTTGGTTCAATAGACTACAGACCCCAAAAAGGCATAAATCTCCATTAATGCTTTTGATTAGAAAATACTTTCTTTTGCTCACAGATCTTTCTTAATGCTTGGATGAAAGACTTCCTACTCTTCATAGAAGGAGTCTACTTCATTCCTGTATTTCTCGAGCACCGTGAGCCGTTTCAGCTTCATTGTTGGACCTTAAAACAGAGAGAGAGTCACAATACTAGAAATGGGAACAGAAATTCTTACCCACTTGGAGCTTTGGTGCCTGAGTTTTTTATTGAAGAGCCTGCTGGAAGCACATACCCCAATTTGAGTGTAGATAAATGCTAAAAGTGAGAAGCCAGTGTTGTATGTAAGGCTCCATGTAAGCATGAGAACCTCAAAGGGAGCTGCAGATAAGAGGGTTATAACTGACTACTACTTTTTTATCATTAAAAATAAAGAGTGAGGGTTTTGAAAGCTTTTAAACAATTCCAAGTTCATTCAGAGAGCCTGGTGATGTGCTTCAGGCTCCATTATCAGGCTTTCACTGTCTTGCTTCTCTTTTTCTTTTAAATGAGAAACTTGTAGTATTATTACTGAAAGTTATTAATACTGCCCAAGGAATTAACCAAAATTGACTGCTTAATTACCCAAAGCAATCTGAAATTTAACTACAAGAGCTGTACTTGCAAATGTGCACATTGCTAAAACTCCCATTTTTATATCCTTTACCACAGACTGCAGAGCGTTCTGTCCCTTCCCTCTAGTGGCTGTACCCAGAACCTGGCATGCAAAACTGTACCTCAGTATAAAGCAGTTAAATCTTACCTAGTTCTCCCCCAGAAATGGAGAAATCCCTTGGCAGGACTATCCATTTTTGGATACAGTGGACCCTGTTGGTGGCGTTCCTGTTGACTCTGTTGATTCCCTCCTGGATGGCCCCGTAGATCGCCCGGTCTCTGGTGGCTACAATCTCAGACACCTTGGTGGCTTTACTGCCCCTCTTCTGGCAGAAGTCTCTGGCTTGCTCAGTGAGAATGTCAGTGGGATCAGATGTGTCTGGGTCCAGCTCACTCTAAAATATCAAATGAAGTGAATCACCAAATGCTCCCTCTTAAAGGCATTGAAGGTTCCCTAATTGAGTCCTCCCTGACTGAGAAGGCTCAGCACAAACACACAAACACTCTGTAAGCATTAAAAAGCAGGAACACCTACAGATGGTGGTGCTTTTCTTTCCTCTTGGCTACCAAATGCAAATGTTTTTGGCTTAAACGTACATGAACAGACTTGAAATGTGTGAATGAATCAGGCAATAGAGTCCATCTACAGACCTGGAATTTCTGCCATATTTTCCAGATGACTCCATCGATACAGGGAAACATTTAGCTCATCACTAAATGGAATTACTGTGGTGTAAACAGCTTGAGATAGAAGCATTCTTTTAAGTTAGACTTCTTAAATTAGCATTTCTATTGTACCTGGAGATAGGGAGTATCAGTCACAGAGGTAAACAACTTGAAAAAAACCTCAGTGTCAGTCACTCAAGTATGAACACAGAACACCAAGTGCAAATATTTTAGGAAAACAGTGATTTCTCAATTGAAGAGAATTGTATACCATAGCAAGGCCATTAATTATTTTGTTCTAAAGTCACCCTTCTTGTGTCATAAAAATAACAAGTTGTAGAGAAATGCTTCTGTTGGGAAGTTTCTGGGTTTGCCTGTATCAGAAACATTTGCTGGCTTTGCTTGTCTGTCAGAATAAAACCTATTATTGTACAGAGACTTCTCAATCTTGCAGCATTTCTTAATTGAGAAGTCTGCATTTAAATAAAAAACAGCTCTTATTATATACATAGGAGAAACAGCAGTGAATATGTAGATGTTTAGCAGGTCATGTAAGCAGAGGTTCAGACCCAGCAGGATTTAGTTTGTAGTTGCTGTACATTTTCCCCCCTGCCATCATCTCCTATGTAATTTTAGGTCTTTTTACAAATAGTTCAAAATTATTCTTCTTTTAGGTGCAGGTGTGTAATGTCACCAAAAGCAATATTAAAACTGGTTTACCTTTAGGGTCAGGAACATTGACAAAAACTTCTTTTTATCCCCAATCACCATGGCATTACTAACAATTGGGAGCTCTTTTTTAACAGCATCTTCAATTGGAATTGGAGGCACATTTTCACCTCCAGCTGTAATAATCAAATCTAGGCAAAAAAAGAAAGGCTATTAGTTGAACTCAAATAAATTCCAGGCTAATGTCTGGACTGACCCGCTCTCCTTATTCTGACATAAAGAATAAGAGAGATTTTTTTTTCCCCAAGATGTTTTCCAAAGACAACAAATCCTACTAATTATCTTCCAAACAAAAATGCTACTATTTTTCAAACGTGCTCAAATTCTCAGATCTCCCTCAGTATAACATATTTGGTCCAGATGATGTTTCACATAATCCAGTAACAGGTTATTCCCAAGGCACTGTTACATAACCTGGAATTTTTCTGTGAGACATCATCTCTTCCAAATTAGCAGAGGATTCACCTTCTGTTTTATCGTTGCTATCTCACCAAAAAGCAAATTCATTGTTAACGTCAGGATTAAAACCAATTCTTAAATCCACCAAGAGGGGTCAGACAAAAATAAGTTACTGCTGCAGGAAGGCTCCACAAAAGCAAAAGGAGAGAGGAGTGTGGGGGAGAAGCCAGGAGAGGAAATTTGCAGAGGAAGGAGCAATTCCTGCCCTACTTTTGACATGAGGAGAATGCAATGACAGACTGGAATCTTGATATTCTTAAGGTTTGTAAACAATGGTAGTGATACCTTATTCTGTTGATGAAGGAATGTGTATTTTTATTTGAATACCTTTGTTCTGAAGTATGATATGTATATTCAGTGAAATTATTACAAATTTGACTATTCTCTAAGTAAATCCCATCTCTTTGCTTTCATTGCATTGGTGACTTCTCCCTGTCCTCAAATAACAGTCTTTGCAGCATTTCAAAACATGCTTCAACAAGCAGTGCAGACAAACTTTTCCAGGTCTAACTTTTCCTCTCATTCCACCCTCCTTTTGCCATAGCCATGTCTTTGTCTTAGACCCTCTACCAATTTCTGGCCCTTAGTTTCTCACTGTCTGAGTTGTCAGCTTTTTCCCAGCTGATCCAGACAACTATAATAACTGCAACATTTTTTTTCACACCTCTAAAATACCCCCTGTAGGGATTTCTCAGCTGCATCTTTGAGCTCATGAGCCCTAAAACTCATAAGACATGGATAAGCGAAGGAAGAAGTTCCCCTTGTAGTCACTATAAAAAAAAAAAGCTTTTCTATTAGATTTTACCTTATTTGGACTTGAATTTAAAACTTTAATGAAACTGGGCATATGGTTATTTTATCCCAGATGGTTTGCTCATCCTGTAATTTAGAGTAATTGCTTTTAGTCCAGCAATCAAGGCAGATGTAAGAGAAACACAAATGTTCAGATGGATTGGTTGTCAACTGCTACACTAAAGGAAAATGAATCAGACAAGAAAGCAAGTTAAAACCAAGATATCTGCATTTGGTGCAGGCTATTAATAGTAGCAACCTAAGTCCTGATTCCTAGCAGGACATGATGCCACCTGTGACAGATTCACTCATCCACGTTATCTCCCTTGTGATTCATTCTACATTCTGAGATGATACTCTGTTCTTAAACCTTCTTCAGTCTCATCTTGCCTGTGATCAATCCCACTCCTCGAATGTGTTTTGGGAAAAAAGCTCCCAAGTAATCAAGTGACCAGTGTGACTCTCATTGACACTTCTGTCAATGTACTGTAGTAACACCTCAGTTCATTGCTTTAGCTTTAACTTTCCCTTCTGCTCTCAAGCTTCAACTATCTGCAAATACATCACCTGAGGCATCAGAGGAACCTACCTCTGACCTACAGTAACAGCTTCCAGGGAACACAGGTGTCCTCTGCTTACTGTCTAAACGTTCTAATGTGCAATTAGGACAATTTAGCAAGATTCAAAGGGAGCCTGGACAGCTTCATGAATCATTCAAATCAAAGAAGACACATTAGACCCATGTTAGTAGTTTATATTGCTAATTGTAATTAATTCTGAGTAAAGGTCTGGGAGATAAAAAGCCTCATCATAGGAACTGAATCATCTCCACCTATTACAGATTGGAGGGAAACCTCCCCTGAACACACAGCACACACATGGGAAAGTTTATTTTACCTTCCTATGAGGGCAGTGCTGCTGGCAGGAGAGGAAAACACTTCTTTAGTGACCACATCTGCCATTAGACTGAACAGTGCTGGGCAGTTACCACAACAGCGAGCAAGACTTTGCCCATTACCTTTAATTCTTCCAGTGACATAGAGAAAGCCATCCTTGTCTAGCTTTCCTAAATCTCCAGAATGCAGCCAACCCTCCTCATCGAAGGCTTCTTTTGTTCTGTCTTCCATGTTTAAGTAACCCATGAAAACAGTCCTTCCCCAGAAGCAGATTTCTCCGTTGCCTTCTGTGTCCTTGTCCACCAGTTTCAGTCTGCACCCAGGGGCTGGTTTACCACAGCTATCAGAGAAGAGCAGAAACATCCCCCAGGGAGCACAGAGGTATCAAACACAACACTGATAAGGTGGCTTACATCCCAAAGCCCTGAAACTACCAAAACACTGCAAACAACACCGTGCTGAAACTGTTTGACAGTTATGGAATATTAATTCACTAGGGCAGAGATGCTGGAGTATCTAAGCACTTTTTGACAGTCTGCCTTGCCTGTGCTTGCTGGTTTTTTCCCCCTCTGTATCTTCAGGCATAAAACCACTTTTGTATTTGAGGTCTTGCATTTGAAAGTTATCCTGCCCCAGGCCAGGGCTATGATATAAGGCAGATTTAGGAACTGTTCTGCATGTAATGCTGTGGCTCACTGTCAGTGCTCCTGGCATGGCAATGTGCTCAGCTTCTGACCTGCAAGTTATTCTGCCTCCCAAAGGCACAACAGAGTGACAGCGCACTCAGAAAAAATAAAATAAGCCATAAGACCTTTGCTGGCCTTAGTAAACAGTCTTTTCATAGATATAATGAAATAGCCATATTAAAAAGATAATAATTAAAAAGGTAAAATTACCTGTGCTGCCTGTAAATGAAAGGCCCAGACAGGCAATGTGGGCCTGTGGTCTCACTCATCCCATAGGCTTCATACAGGGTGATGTTCAGACCCAGGAAAAAATACAGTGTTTCTGTGGTGAGAGGAGCAGCCCCACAGAAGTGCTTCTGACAGCAGGAAAACCCCAGAGCACTGCGGATTTTTGCAAGCACGAGGTAGTCTGCCAACCTTGTCCAGAGCTGCTTTAGGTCACTGCTGAGTACAAAACACACAAGTCAGAGCAACCTAGGAAGTTTTCAGAACAAAATCAGGCACAAATTTTGTTTAGAGGCATATCTATCATTTGGTTTTGGGTGCTGACAGAAGTTACATCAGTAAGAATAGGTGACATATTCATCCTTTTCCATTTATCCAGTGTCTTTCATTGCTCCAGCTTTCACATCCCCAACTCCCGAGGTATCTGAATACAGCAAATACATAAAGAATCTGTAAAAACATATTGTACACAACACAGCTCTTGTACTCATGATTCTTCATCACTTCAGTGTGTCTCTGAGAACCTACACCACTAAAATCTGAAATTTGCAGGACCTCTCTGAGAAGCTGAATGATCAGACAAGCAAAGCACTCTCATGGAATGATCTTTTGGAATACCATTTTCCGTAAGCAATTTCACACTTCATTGCACTGTCATGCTTTAAAGAACTTTGGAACAGGAAAGAATTCTGAACTAAGTTAGTATTTGAATTTATACAACATTATTTATCTGTGCAATCTTATGGACAAAAACACCAACGGTCTTCAGAACAGAGATAATGTACTTGGAGCTCAGAGAACTCATGGGGGTTGTCCCTGGGTTTTTGCAGGGAGATGAGATGTTCTTAGCTCTCATATCCCAAACTGTCATGAGCCAGCCTGTCTGGGCTGTCCCCCAAAATTTGCCCCCTCTCACACACACCCTCCAGGTTCATGCCCTTTCCTCTCACCAGTGAGTAGCACTTGCACAGCCAGGGGGAGCAGGGACTGCAGCAGGGAACTGTCCCAGCTGAAAACCAACCTGTTCAGTCCCAGCAGAGCCAGGGGCTGCGTCAGTGAGTGTGTGTGCTCAGGCAGGAGGGAGAGACACTTCTGACACTCACTTGTGTTTAAGATCAGCTACAGTAATTGATAAACACCCCCTCCCTCTTGCATTATATTTGCTTTGTTGCCAGGCCAGATTCTACCCATTTATATTTAGAGTCTCACTGAGGTTTGATAGTCCATTACAAGCAGATTGCTACTTTCAAGTTGCTGGAAGTCTCACTGTCTGTAATACATACCTGCTTGAGCCATTCAGGTTCCTCTCTAAGCCAAGGGACATAGCCCATGACAGCATTTTCTTCTTCACAAATCCTGACTGAGCAGAAGCATCCTTTAATTTCTCCATGATTTTCTCCCATACTCGGGGGACTCCCATATGAGCTGTTGGCTGCACTTCTTTTAGTGTGTTGATCAAGCTGCCCTGTTATAATCATTAAATAGCTTCAAAACTTTGCAAAAGGCACACAGCAGACCTAAAGAGGTTTGGTGATGCAAAACCTGCATCTTTAGGGGTTGTAGAACATGACTAAATACGTAGGATATAAAGAAGGACTGCTGAACCTTCTTCAGTCAGACATATGCACTGACACGTGTCAGGTCTGACACACCAGGGAGGTTCCTACACCAGAAGGAAAACACACAGGTGGGTTAGTTCCTCCTGCCTCCCTTTCCTCCAAAAATTTCTCAGACTTCTTTTGCTTTAGATGCCTACTCTTTGGCCTTAAAAGAACCTTATGGGCCTGGATTATATATTTCAATTGGAATCTAGAGCACTGGATCACAAATCTAATGGACTTCATAATTCTTACAATAACGTACGCTCAATCTTCATCCCTTACCACTTCTCAAAGATCATATTCTCTCCCTAGCATGCTTTCTAACAGAAAGAAGTGCAATCTTAATTAGATACAATGGAAGACAGGGTACCTTCAGAGCATCTGGCTCAGCAAAGTAGACCTGCTCTCCCCATTTGATACCAGTCCACAGGTCATACATCTGTGCAGCGACGTGGCTGAGAGGGAGATAACTGACTATAGACTCCTGCTGGACCTCTGCAGGTTGCATACCTGCTGCTCTGCTGCAGTGTGCTGATGTCCAGGTTACCTGTTTGAATAAATAATAAGACACATTAGGTATGGCAAGGGGTTTGGATTGGAGGTTTTATTTCTTTTTTCCTTTTAACATGAACTAAGGACCCTCAGGCCACACTAATGTAACTGTGAAGAACCTGTGCTCACAGCAACTGCTGAGGACATTGCAATAGTGACTGTCAGCTCCCTGGGGACACTCAGGCCAAAGCCAGGTGACCTTCACAGCAGTAGAGAAGTGCAGATAACAAAAGCACAGAGAGCTTCTGCTGCCTGCCTGGGCTGTGAGCACTACCAACTCTCCATGCCCCAGTGACACACTGAGCAGGCAGCATGGGCTGGATGGACAAGGATAAAGGGATCTGCCCCTTCCTTTGCAACTCTCCTGCTGTGCAGACTTTCTTTTAAACTGGCACTTTGCATCAGTGCTGTATCTACGTGTTTACCTAAAAAAGAACAATAAATACTCAGTGATCAGTGAGCTCAAAGGACAATTCAGTATTAGCAACAAGCTCTTTGTCCTGTATTGATCCTCCTGGCCAAGCACTAAGGAGGGTGACAGCAGCTGTACTCTGCTCCTCTGGAAGCTCTGGGATATTCAGCACAGGGGTTCAGAAGTGACACACACATACACTCCCCCCTTCTTATGAGAGGCAGCACATACATTAATACTTTTGAGGATGTGCTCCTTGACCTCTTAGTGAAGCTGGATGATACTTCCCCCCACTTCTTCCCAATTCCCACTTTATCCCAGAAGATGCAGTTGAAGGATGCTAAATATGCATATTTCATTATCAGAACACAGCATATGGAAGACCCACAAACACATGTGATGCTACGAGAGATGAGGGAAAAGATGTATGTGCACAAAAAACCCAACCAAATAAAACCCAAAACAAACACCACCACTCAAAAAAACCCCAAACAAACCAGAAAACCCCAACCAACAAAAAGAAACAGCTCTTTCTCTGTAATCTAAACTGGGTAGTGCAGGATAGAGGAATGAGATTATTCAAGGTGGCAGAGCAGAGGCACAAATCACAGGTGATACCTGTTATCAGAGGACATCCCTGCCACCTCCTCTGTAATAAATTAGAAGGTACAAGTGTACACTTGGCCTAAGGAAATAGGGATTCTCAGGAGAGGGGTTTAAGACCAGGCCAAGCCACTCCAAGTTAGAGGCAGCACTGGACAAGTGGCTGTGGGAGACTCACACAGCAGGAAGAATGGGATGTCTTTCAGATGTGTCCATTCATTGCTTGCCCTCCAAACCTCACAGCAGGTCAGTGGGTGCATGGAGCACTGACTCAGCACCGGTTTTGCACAGGGACAGTGGCAAACAGCTTTGACTAAAGAAGGCAGCAGCACAGCTACAGGCACAGCATGCCTTCCAGTGTTTGTCAACATAAAAATAGCCTGTTTGTGATCAGCAGCCAAGAATAGTTTGGCAGCTGGCATGGCAATGACACCAGGCTCCTTTGAGATAGAAGAGCATAGATTTGCAACGTCACATCAGTCTTTTTTTGTCTGTCAAGTCCACAGCGTTCTGCTTCCAGATACTACTGTACTAATTCCCTACATTTGGGTGAATTGCTGCTCACAGTGTGCATGTCTGCAAGAATTTCTGCTTCATTTTTAGGGGAGAGGCCACAACTTAGACCAGCCCTTTCACAGATTCTCTGTGTATTCAGAAAGGCTCCCTACCACCTTCCACTCCCACTCAGCCACCTTATGAAAAATTAAATATATAAACTCCCAAAACAACTACACTTCAAATCTCTGCTGGCTGACCTCTGTGAAAACTCCATTTTGCAAACAACTTGCTTTTCTCTATAACTGGAAATTTTCTGTTTGCAAGAATGCAGGTAGGGCTGTTGTAGTACCAGCACTGTGCACCAGAGCTGTGTTATCCCCCAGTGACAGGTGTAGAAACCTGCATACAAGCCTAAGAACACAAAATGCTGAAGTACAAACAACACACATCCACCCCCAATTTTAATAAAATCTGCAAAAGCAGTCCATCAGGCTGTTTTGATAGCAGCTGGCTGATGTCTATGATTTGTTTTACATCTCCTGAGAGACTTCGTGTCAACCTGTGAATTTTATTTATGAATATATGCATTAGATCTCACAAGAAATCCAGTGAATAAAAATTTCACATTCATGAAGAACCGTTCAACCTTGTGAAGTGCTGGTTTGAATGGAGTTTCACTCTCTACCTTGTTTATACTTTACCAGAAACAGCTGACTGCACTTCAAACATTGCTCTGCAGTACGGTACCCGTGTTGCAAAAACAAAAGGATTTCAGGGCTCTGCTATGTACAGTCATTTCAAACCACAGGAATAAATGTCTTCATGCTTTGCTATTTCTCTGCTAAAGAAAGAGCCTGAAGTACATACATTGTCATGGCTCAGCATGGCTCCTTTGGGCTTCCCAGTTGTCCCAGAGGTGTATATCAGCACACAGCATTGATTGGGCTTTTGAGAGTTAATAATATCATCCAGAGTAGCATCAGATATGTCACGCCCCAGCTCCAGGAACTCCTCCATCTAGAACATGTAAGAGAAAATACAGGATATCAAGTGGCTTGTTATGAATTGATACAGTGCTGCATCTTTCCCCTCCCAAAAGTGGCAGAACAGTTCAGTGCCTTGTTTGAACCTGTATCCAAGGCAAGTTTCCCCTGATCTTGCCTATGTAACAAATATGGTAAGTCTAGCTTAGACCTTAATGTGTGAATTGCAAACAGACTGTGCTGTCATGAGCCTTTTCAATGCCTAAGAAGGGAACAGTAATACTATTCCTCCTCCAATGTGGATATAGGGATCACTCATGGAGGCTAAAATTCTGCTACTGTCTCACACTGTAAGAATGATTTTGAGTCTTATTTAAAGGAAGCTGGATGCAACATTTTTAGGTAAGTGCACACTTGTGCCCTCTCATATATAATTCATTGTACTCTATATAAATATATCTATAAAGCAACTGGATGAAAGCTTCTCTGCAAAAGCATCATTATTTAGATGTGGGAATGCTAGCCCAAATTATCTGCTATTTTATAGGAAACAGAGCATATGATGCTGGTCACAACTTCCATTCAAATTTGGCTCTTTCTAGAGTGAGATAAACCTTTTATGACACTGGGCTTTTGTGCCACACAAATCTGCCCAGAAGAATCCTGAGCCTGATCCTCTGTATTATATTGGTTGCTCCTTCCTTTGCACACCCCTGCTCTGCTGCTAAGTGCACCACTGATTTCAAAGTTAATTGAAATTTAAAAGAAAATCAATAACCAAACTGCCAGTTTGCCATTGCAATCACGTGGTTGCTGCTGTGCTACAGAACTGTGCTATTTAAATGCAAGGTGCAGCACCCCCATTTTCCCATGATTTCTTGGAGCTCTATCTAGGACCACAAAGCAGAGATGGGGATGAGCTGAAGGACAGCAGAGGTAAGAACGGAGAGCCTGTGCTTGAGGGGAGTTCATTGCTTCTTTCAGACCTCTGCCATTGCTACTAAGGTTACAACAGTCAGCCTCTGCTGCCCCTTGACTGCCTTCTCTGAGGTGGCAAGGCTGTCCTAAGGATCATTCAGCAGTTTTACACTTCCTTCCAACAACCACATGCCTGAAAAGAGAGGCTGTAACTGCACAGCTCCGCAGCAAGCAGAGATTTGTCCCATTCCATCCCTCCCCATGGAATGTGGCAGCATCAATCTCCCAAGCTCCTGCAAAGTGTGGCGGTGCCAAGGATGTAGTTTCCCCCCATTTTCCTGACCTTAGTGTATTCTCCCCCCGGAATGCATCGATCCCTGTGAATGTGTTGCCCAGGCTTTGTTTACCGAGCAGGACCCGCCCCAGACGGTGTCAAACAGTCCCACACACACAGGTCTGACTTTGCCTTTGCCTTCTGGAAAGAGGCTCTGCCCTCGCTGCAGCAGCCCCTCGTCACACGGGAGCTGTCACCCTGCCCCACAACCCCCTCTTATCAAACCCCCCGTGGGCTGGGGGGTTTGCTCTGCATCAACCCGAACCAACAGTCATTTCTGCCTCTGGTCATCTGGTCTCTAATTTTCCCTCTAGATGACATAAACTATGGCAGCTGTCACACACTCTCAGAGCTCCCCTGCTCTGCTGAGAACACACCCAGCACAGCACTGGAACAGGGCTGCTGGAAAACACAGCAGTTCTCAGGCATTTGGGGGTTCAGCAAGCTGTTCAAGAAGTAAATGCTAGCACTTAATCTTTTTACTAAGAAATATAAATAGTAAGATCATCTTTGTAGTATTTTTTTTATTGTACCAAGATGCTCCATACCAGTATGTACAGTATTGGAACAGTAATTGTTTATTATTAACTTCTATGCAAGGTCAGAAGACTTTTTTTCTTATCAGATTATCAAAATTGCAAATATTTTAAAATAGTTCTGTACTGTTCACTCTTCATTAATATATTTTTCCACAGTCGAAGTTTTTTAGCCTAAAATCTGATCATCCATAGTCAACTTAAAATATGGATTTTTTTTATTCTTATTGCTTAAGAATTACTTATTTTCAAAATATTTTGTAATAACACATTTCCAAAAACCTGCTTTGCTTCAAGCCCTCATACTTCCTAAAGGCTGAACTTCTACCACTCAGAAATTTCTCATCCTGGTTTTGTCTTTTTTTTCTTTTATTTTTAACATGTAATAGGAATATTCTACATGTACTAAGAAAATGTGCTGCTTTGTGCAGTCCATAGTCATTTCTCTTCACTTGTTGCCTATCACCAGAAATATTTGGTGCAGACAAAATGCAACTATCATCTGTAAAAGAACAAGCATTCTCTGTTCTTGGATTCAGTGTAACTCACCACAATTCAGTTTTCACCAGGGGACAACTTTTATTTTTAACCATTTGTGAGTACACATTCCCACCTGAATAGGTGGGGATAATAGGTGTTTTAACAGACCAGTCAAGTTAAAGACCAAGAGGACACAAGACAGAGAGTTAAGCAAGGTATCGCTAATTTTAAATGTGAAGTATCAAACATGAAGTTACAGGTAAATTAAACAGAAAAAAGCTGATGAAGCTTTTGAACGTGTCTGCTGGAATGCAGCAATGCATTCTAAATGACACTGTGCTGACAAAGCATAGTAGAAATGTCTCAAATAAATAATACCCCCCGAATTGTAAGTCTGTTCTAGCACTCACATACCGTATATAAATTTGGATGTGTCTCTGGAAGGGAGTCCTTATATAGCACAACAGCTTTCAAGTGTGGCAAGCGATCCCAGATCTGTTGGATTTTTTAAGACAAATTTATTATTTATTATTCATATCTTGCGTGGGCTGTTTTTCCCCACTAAAATACTGCCAAACTGTAATGGCTTGACAGGCACAAACCCCCTCCTCTTTCCCTCCACCCCCAAACATTCTCCCCTGAACTCACCCGCAGTTAGCTCAGCTAGAGGCGGGGGAAGGAGGAGGGGACTACACAGTCTGCACAGTCTGCTCTAGAAAATCTGGTTTCAGTCAAAGAGAATAAAAAAACCCGAAAATTACACCCAAAATGGCTCCTCAGCATCCTTTCTCACAGTGCACAACAGGGCACATCAAGGAGCTGTGTAGATCAAGCCGGAAGCTGACCCCAACTGCTGTGGTTTGCGACAAAGTCCCTCAGCAAAAACTGGTGTTCAGGTGCTAAAAAAAGTTCTACTTCCTCAAGGAAAAAAGGAAATGGAGCCATATGGACAGTGTAAGGATACATGAGGACATAAAGCCACAGGCAGACAGGCTGCTGCTGTCAGGAGCTCTTTGTGTGCTTTGCATGGCCTGCAGAAAACATTCATTTCACTCCACTCCCTGGGCCCCCCTGCCTCACTGACCACATTTGGAGCTGCACCTGTGCCAATACAAAAGCAGTGGACTGATGGCAGCCATTGTGTGCACATTATTAGAAGGACAGCAAGTGAAATGGTGTGTTATCATTTCAGCCTTGGGTTCTTCCAGGAAAAAAATGTTTTGAAAAACCCTCTGTTTTTTTCTAAACTTTAAAAATTTTAGAATTTTTCTAAAAACCTGTCTTCCTACAAATCACATATAAAACAGAGCCACAAAATACAAAGTAATTAATACAAATACAAAGTAATTAATGCATAACATATATCAAATACATCTGAAAAACCCCCACTCTGTGGCAGGTACATGTTTTTGGCAGAAAACTCCATTATGAAGGGCCCCCTTGCTTCAGCAAACTGCAATTTGGTGCAAGTTTGATGGGTCATCTCCAGCCAGGGGCCTCCCTCAACACCTGACAGACAGATAAGCCCTTCCCAGGTTGCTGCCTGTGCTCCTGGGCTCCTCCCCAAGTCCTGCAACCAGGATCCTTTTGTTAAATTGGTCTTTCCCTCTGGCACCGCTGCTGAAACCCAGTCACGGCTGCTCAAGGGTCGTGTCAAAACTGTGACTGGTCACCTAAAGAGGCTCCTGCTCCTTTCTCACCAAGGTCTGTCTCATTTAACCATCACACTATTTAACCATCATGCCACCAAAGTGCAGTAACTCGACAGCCTTAATGGCTACTATGACAAGATAAGGCAAGCAGGATGAGATGATACCTTGGAAAGGGAATCCTGAACACTGGCACACTTCATATTTGAATTGCAGGCCTTTACAAATCTGCAATTACAGAGTGTAATCTCTTCATTCCAGTGGGCTGTGCTTTGCAAAAGAGAAGCAGGCGGTGATAGTATAACCATGGGATCAAAAGGTGAGTTTTTCCAAGGAAATCTGCAGTGAACCACCCAGTGAGCTCTGCTGGAGCCACAGACACTGGAGAGGACAGGGCAGCAAGGCACCCACGAGCTCAAGTACCAGATACTGGATTTCTGAGTAAGAACACTCCCATAAAAGGTTCCATGATACAGAGAGTGTATATGGTGTTTGGGACCAACACAGCATCAAGAAATGAAAAAATTATGGCTTTTCAGCAACCCTTCAGCCACCTCATACCTGCATTATCTTGTCCAGTTGTTTCTGATTTTCCACAACCATGATATTGGTTTTGCTGTCATGAGCAATGTAGTGACAGGCCTCTGGAGAATTGGTTGTGTATATTCCTGTGACAATTCCTCTGAATCAAAAAATTTATATATACATATATAAGAACATATATTTTTATACATACACACACATATACATGCACTTAGTATCAAAAAAGAGTAATAATCAAGGATCAGATGAAAGCTGAAAGGGTATGAAGATGTGGAAGCAAACACAGCACAGCTCTCATTTGTTTCATGTATCCAGATACAGATATTTATCTAAATCTCTGATTTATGCACATTGCAAAAACTAATCTCTGAACTCTATTCAGTAGAAGGTGCTGTAGGCTGGGATTCAGTGTTTTAACCCATTTGAGGCTACTCAAGAGTCAGCTCAGGAAGTTGTAGAAAATCCCCAGTCACGTCCCCTTCCTATTCAAGCTGTACACAGGTACCAATTTGGATTTCATTGGCACAGAACAGCTTAAGAAGTAAAACCCAAATTGTGTGAACAGGTATCAGGACAGAAGGAATCAGGCTGGCCAATATTCATATGTTACTTCATCTCCTTGAACATATCTTGCTGTAGACAAATATCATTAATATAAAACTGTGAGTCTCATCTGTTTCCCACATCTTCCAGTGATAAGACACTGTACAACAGCTTCTGTCACAGTTAAGCCCACAGCAAACAGGATCAACTTAGGAGTGTCTGGACTATTTCAGATAAGAGACTCCAGCAGGTCACTGAACATGCTAATCAGTAGCAACACAACTTCCAAAATATGACAGCAAATACTTATTTGCTGCATTTCCACCTCTAGCAAAACAGAAATCCCCAAAGCCCCTTCAAAATCAACACCCCCCAAAAAAATCTTACCCAGCAAAAACAGCTCCAACAGCCGAGATGAACCATTCTGGAGAATTAAATCCAAGGATTGCTACGCTGTGGAATCGTTCAAGGCCGAGCTTAAAAATAATAAGCATGAGGTTATATAATGTAGGCACTCTGGAGAGGAACATCCACACAAATATAAACTTTGGAAACTTCTGATTTATTATTGCAGTATTGACAAGGCATGTCCACACAGCTCTGTGCTGGTATCCACAGCAAACCCAGTATTTATCAGCAGTAACATGATGTAACTTTTCCACTGCCTTCCCCTGGCTGGTTGAGCTCTGCTGCCCAGAAAGGCCTGAAACCCAGAACACTTCAATATGAACGAGACATAATGAGTACCAATATTACCCTATGCTTAGAAGGCTTTAGAAATTGTGTTTATCTCACCAAATTCATGATAGTACTGCTTTCCCCTATTTTTCTGTTTTTAATCTCAAGGGCCTCGTGCTGAGCTCGGTGCCCACATCCCAGTGAGCAAGTGTAACACAGCAGCTCTTCCCTTGCAGCAGTGTTATCTCTGACCAAAACCCATTTTCATCATTATTTCAATAAGGAATACGACTACTGATCTTCAAGTAATGGGGAAAGCCTCTTATAGTGTGGATTTTGGGGTTTTTCTGTTCATTTGTTTTTTGGGTTTTTTTAAAGGACACAAAGGGAGAAAATGAAATGGCTTTGTTTCCTGTACCTACCTTCAAGAAGCTCTTGGCTGCTTTCCTGGAGAGGCAATAATACTCTGAAAAAGTTATTTTCTCCCACTTTCCATTCTTTTTGCTGGCCAAAGCATTAAGGGACCCGTATTTTTCCAGGCTCTCCTTGAACATCTGATGAACTGTTATGGGAGTCTGTGGACATGAGTTATCTATTCTCAGTCTGACTCTGCCATCAGCAAGGGAAGTCCACAGGGACTCTGGAAGGTAAAGCACTATTGTCAAGGTATTCTATCATTGAAAAATACCATGTGACTGTGTACCAGAGGACAAGAGAGCTGAATAAAGACCACAGGACCAAGCACAACTCTGGCACTTCTCACCTTCCGAGAGAAGGACTTCCCAATTTTCTTTCTATCATATACACCACATAGAAGGAGAAATCTTCCTCTGTTACACTTTGATCTGCATCTTGAACAGAAGTGCCACTGGACAGAATTACACTGATCTTCTGTCACAGACACCCCCCCAGTTCCAGAGCAGCGTCTGCCGGTGCTCAGCCCTGCAGTTGCCCCTGTGCAGTGGAGTAGTCAATGAATCAGAAGGTTACAGAGATCCAAAAGATCTGAAACCTCTAACCCTACTCAGTATCCAAGCCCCTTTTGCTTGTTGTAACTCTTCCCTCTCTCCTTCCCGTCCACCTCTTCTCCCTCATCCTGCCTCTGTTCCCCACTACTTCCCACAGTTTTTTCCTTGGTCATCTGCCCCATGTTCCAATCTGTATATCCACTCCACCCACTCCTGTCTTGCCCTGTTTCCATGTCATTTTTCATCTTTTCCTGCTCTTGTCTTCCTCACCCTGCCTTTCTACCATCCACTTTTTTGTCCCTGTATTTGTCCTCCCCTTCCTTGCCAGGACACAGAGAAAGAGCACCAACAAATGTCACTTGGCTCTCACCACTGGTTCCAAGGACTTCACAAGAAATATCTCTCTCAAAGACTTTACTTGGCTCTTGCAAAGCCAGCAAAAGGTTGAGTATAAATACACTCCTTAGAGAATCTAGGGGTTAGCAAGTTGGCAAAATTCAGGTGAATTCTCACAAGGAAAGCACAAACCCTCCCACGACTCCCCTGTCAAACAGTTCCCATACTTCTCAACAAAACAGTACAAGAACATTGTAAGAACAACATTTTTTTCTTTAGATTCATGTTCATAAATGAAGAAATAATTTTAGCATAAACATAAATATATATATATTCTAGAGTGAGCTGATGAAAAAATTTCAAAGTGCTTAGGCTTGTCAGAATTGAGTGTAACAGAAAATAGGACTTTTTGAAGTTCCTGCTAGAAGTTAATAAGCATGATTGTCTTTTACTACTCTTATGGAAAGCAAAAACTGTGAGAAAGCTCAGACAGCATCTGTGCTGTTTCCTGGAACCCCAGTGGCTGAAAAAAGGCCATTCTGGAGCGTTCAAAAGTCCAACATCCCTGCCAATGCTATTCCTCTTGTTGCTTCACGGGGAAACCACCTCTCTGAGCATTTCTGGCACCATGTGAACACATCAACCACAGCTGGATCCACAGGAGCTCTTCAGGACACACTTGCAGCCTCCCTAAGCCAGGGAGCTTGTCTGTGCACAGACAACCAGAGGCACAGCAAGCTGCTGCAGGCTCACAAACATCGTGTTCCATTCCTGCCCCTGGCTGGCAGATTTGCATTTGTTCTCTTGACAAACAGAAGGTGTTAATGACAGCAATAAATACAAATAAAGCTGCTTCATCTCCCTGTGCCTTCGTTTGCTCATGTGCAAATTGCATATAATGATTTTCAAAACATAGGTGTGGAGCTTTGCTTAGCTCAGTGGAGAAAGGGCAGCGTACATCCAGATAGTTTGGAAAACAAGGAGCTGTGAAGGATTTTAGGTTACAGACAGACTTTAGCCAAGTGTAAACAGTATCACCCAATAAATATTTTATGAGCTGAGGAGGCAAAGCAGGTGTTACTGCACTTAACCCCAATCCTGGTGTGGAGCTGTTGTTAATCCAAATGCTTGTTTTCTGCAGTGACACACCACAGCCCAGATGAAAAACTCTATATATAGATGTTCTGGCTTCTAAACCACCCGAGGGGGCAGGGATTGCAGATGTGTGTGGGCACAGAGAGGTGACTGCCCTGTTGAAAACAAAATTGTACCATACAGAGCTAAAATACAACATTCTGGTTCATGTACTATAACTAAATGCTCTGCAAGGGACGTGAAAATATTAGCAACATTCCTAAATGAACATTACAAAAGTTGCATGATTACTGTCTTTTCACTGCAGAGGTGCAGTAGACAACAAACAGAACACTTTCCAGAGAAGAGTGAAAATCATCCATCAAATCAATGAAATATCTATACATAGAAACAAAAAATGTCCTTGGAAACTAGGTTTCCTTCTGCTTTTCTTTATGCAGGTTTTTACGGTGTCAAAAAGGCACCTTTGATTCCCACCAAACATTAAGAACAGAATCAGTTTCAGAGACTCTGTGCATCACCTTAATAATACACAAGCTATACTGCAAATGAATATAAACCTAAATGGCCATTCAGTGTTTGCTTTTGCAGGTAGAATTTATCTCAAAACAGTCCTGAGATCTAGATATAAGCCAAATAATTCTAAAAATCCAATTATTCTGTCCCATAGAGTCAGTAAAACCAGCAGAACATGAACAATATATTCCTCTGTCAGTTTGCAGAGGGTTTTTGAGCAGAGGGCTCATTCTTCTCAGAAAGAGCCTGGGAAGGAATGCCTGGCAAAATACTCCACGGCCAAATTCCATGATCAGATACCTTTTCCATGTTTCACTGTCTCCACTGCTGAAGGAAGAGATGGCCTGGAGTAGTCTCATAGTTATATAGTTACACTTATAACAGGAGGGCTCGACTGCAGTTTGTCTTGGGAATCGCTCTAGGGAAAGCTGATCTAAATACTTGGGATTTTAGGTGTGCAGTTTTCCCATTAATGTGTAAATTTTCAACAACAAACTTTACAGGAGAAAAAAAGTAGTTAAGAACCACTTAAAAGACACACTGAAAGTTTTCAACTCATTTTTCACGATACAATCCTAAACTTATGAACCATTTACATGTGAATACTGATTTATAAAAGTACATTTGTTACTCAGATATTTTCTTTCAAGTCCGAAATGATGCACGACATAAACACATTACAATTGTTGTATTTTTATCAGCCAGTTTATTCCTTCCATCATGTATGATATAAGAGTTCTGACACAGTACAGGCTGTCTTTCCTAGCCCAGATACCAAAAATGACTTTAAACAGACAAACAAATAGCAAGTCCATATTTATTTATTTATTCATGAATAATCAGTCTGGCTGAAACTGCTGGGCCTCTGGGATGTATAAAGGAAACTGTGTACTAGTTAAAAAAAAAAGAAAATTAAAAGAGAAATACACTAATCCTACAGTTTAAAGCTAATATAATCGATGAAACTTTCTCTCTGTTCACTAATATCCTGGTGACAGAAAGGATCTGAGAATGTAAATAAATTCTGATGTTTCTGGAAGAACAGCTCTGAGAGCCACACAAAACACAAGAGAACCAAGGTCACCTTTCAGGCAGGTAAACAAACAGGCTGCTGGAGGAGCAGCCCTGCTGCATGACCTGAGGAGCTCCGAGTGATATTCCATGGATGTGCCCCGAGAAGCAGGAACTAAACCAATAATTTAACTTCTGCTTGAAAGTGAATCAGATTTAACTCACAAAACAGTGTCTTGATTATATGCCAGCTGCTGCAAAACATCCCTCTGCCCTAATGAGGAGAGCAGGAATTCAGCTCTTTGCTGGAGGCATTCCTGACAGTCATCATCCCAGATTCCACAGCCATGATGCCATCACATTCTGCTGACAACACAAATGCATCATTCCTCCTCTCACCCACTATTTTTTTGCTTTTCTTCAAGATATCTGTGACCCTAAGAGATTAATTCCTTAAGCTGAGTAAATTAATTTCTTTAAAAGCTGAGTACACACGGGTTGGAGTTCAAGAGCTTGGTATCTGTGTCAACAGACAGGTATTTGTGCCAACAAACAGACTAAACACAAGTACAGAACTCTGGAATTGAAAGTGAACCTGAAAGTATCAGCCAGACTATATACACAGTGATTCTTCTAATAAAATACAGAAACCAGCTTCCTGTTGCTTGCCTTGCCACAGCTGGGGGAGGAAAAGGGTTTTCTGCTACATTACCAGTTTTCCACAACAAACATGTAATCTTACACTGTCAAACAGGAAAGACTGAATAAATAGAGGAAATCTTTTTCAATTGGCCAAAACACACGAAAATATTTCAGTTCATGGATACCTATGCCTTTTCCACTGGAGGAAAAGGGAACACTTATTAATTGCAATAAAATATACTGCTCTTCACAGCAGTGAACTCCTGCAAGTGTGGATCAGAGAAATTAGATATCCTGCAAAGAATCCTCTCTGAGCTGACGTGGAGGGAGTGGTGCATCAGGGCAAGGACAAAATAAGCCTCATAACAACCCTGACGCTTCTAAAACTGATTACGATGCACCAAAATGGAACGTGTGGAGGGTGTAATCAGGAGGAAACATCAGCACAGAAACATTGCCCAGGCATGCAGGCATGGAAAGTCAAAACTCAGAACTGGGATTGGTGAGTGATGGGAAGAGCCACAAGAAGGGCTTCTACAGGCACACAAGGAGAACCAGGGACATCATGGGTGTCTTGCTGACACAGGACACGCAAGGGGCTGAGGCTCCCAGTGCCTTTTCACCCCAGTGTTTACTGGCAGGATCAGGCTCCCTGGGTTTCCATGCCTAGGGACAGGTGAGGTGTTTTACCTACAGCAGAAAAAAATCAAATAGGGACCACTTGCACAAACTGGACACATACAGAAGTGTTGATGGGACTGCATGAGATGCTTCAGAGTGGACACTGAGAAACCAGGTCAAAGCCATTGCTCCCTGCCATTGAAAAGGCACAGCAATTTGGAAAGGTCCCCATGACAGTGAAAAAGGCAAATGTCACATCTGTCTTCAAAAAGCAGGAGAAAGAGGACTCAGATAACTAAAGGCCAATCAACCTCACCTCAGTCCTACAGAAACCTCACCTTGGTCCTACAGAAACCTCACCTTGGTCTACAGAAAGGCTGTAGAACAAACTCTCCTAGAAATCATTTTGGGCTATAAAATGGTCACTGAGACCAGCCAGAATGGACAGACCTGATCTGGCCTTGGGAAATCTAACCCAACCACCTTCCAAGATGAGTTGACTGGCTCTGACACGGTGAGAGCAGTGGAATGTTGTTCACTTTTTACCTTTAACAAGGTCTTTAACAAGTCCTACATAGCTCAGCATGGAAGGTTTGAACCAGGTGCAGTTGGAGGAGCAGGTGGACAAAAAACTGGCAGGATAACTAGTCTTCAAGAACCATGGTCAACAATTCCAAGTGCAGCCAGAAGTCATTACAAGTGACATTCTTCAGAGGTTACTCCTGAGAACAACACTGTTCAGTGATGGCACTGCTGTCCTGGACAACAGAGAGAACACTCACAGCTTCAGAGAAGACCCCAAACTTGAGGAACTGACCAGTGTGACAATCCATCCAGAGGGACCTCAGCACACCAAAGAACGGGCTGACACAACCTCAGAGCTCCACTAGGGTGAACAAAAGTCTTGCACTCTGGGCAGGACAACCCAATGCCCCAGCAGGGACCGGATGGCAGCTCAGCAGGACAAACCCTGTGGCTCCTGGGGGACAGGCTGGATGTCCCGATGGAGATGAGGGCTGACTGCATCCCAGCTGCACTGGCAGGATTAGAGCCAGCTGATCAAGGAAGGTGATGGTTTCCCCTGCTCAGCACTCCTGAGGGTGCACCTGAAGCAGGGAGCAGCTCTGGAAGCCCCAGTGCAAGAGAGATCCTGACAAACTGACATAAGCCCAGGACAGGGATTCCCAGGGGTCAGGGGCCTGGAACACACCATGTAGGAGAAGCCCCTGTAGGAACTGGGTTCCTCCAATCTGGAGAAGAGAAAGAATGAATCTCCCTGCTGCCTGCCACAGACCAAAGAGGGTGCTGCAAGGAAAACAGATTCTTCTCAGAGGCACCCAGCAGAAGAACAAGAGGCAATGGACATGAGCTGCAGCAAGGAAAACTCTTGCTGGATCAAGAAAAGTTATTTCCCAATGTAGGTGACTCAGCTTAAGAAGAGGGATCGAGAGGCTGTGGAATTTCCATCCCTGGAGGTTTTCAAAACTCAGCTGAGCAAAGCCACAAGCCCTCCTATGAGCAGAGATGGACTAGTTGCCCTCCAGTGGTCTTTTGCAACATAAATTACTTTGTGATTCCACCAGTATAAAGCCAGCACAAATGAGTTCTCTTCTAAGTCAATATAATGGTTTTAAGTCAATATAATGCTTGCTGCCATCACTAAGGGTACTCTGGATTTACAGATGCATTAGAAAACCCCAAATCTGGCCTGCATCCACAGTAATGAGCTTCTATACATTGGTGGAAAGGAATGGGGAAAAAATTCCAGAACAATCTGCAGTCCTCACTGAACAAATTTAGTCCTGAGGTTGCAGAACGTATCAATTATAAAGCGAGAAAGACAGTTCTGCACAACTAGAAAACATCAGAATCTCCTCCTTTTCTCTTTATATACAATGTAGACCCACTGAAATTAGACACTGACCTTCCTTCTCATGAAAGATTATTTGGGAGAAGTGTTTGAAATTCAGTCCTCACTTTCCCACTCCATATCTGCAGAGCAGTGTGATGTGTCCAAGTCAAACACTGCTTCTCATTTAAATGGATAACAAGCAGTGCCACAGATTCTCAAAGTCAAATAAAAGACAAAGTCTAACAAACTGTAAGCTCCTGATTCATCAACTTAGAAGATCTAAACAGCAATAAAGGAACTGCTTAATTAAAATGGATGAGGTGTCACTTGTGTTTGCAAGGAAATTATGACGGAACAGCTGGAATGGCTTCTCCCCTCATTGTTCTCCTCACCTTTGTGGCAGAGCTGTGGTCACCTCTGCAGGAGTGGCTGCATGGCATGTGCATTCCTTCCTGAGCATATTTCTCTAAACTGCAGCCAGCAGCAACCTCTGGGAGGAAGGCAGGGTAGGTACTGTCAGCAGTAACCAGAGTCCCAGATAAATTCTTAGAAAAATAGGTCAGAGCCTTCCTGAGCACACAAGTACTCTGCAGAATCACAGCCTCGGTAATAATCTAAATATAGAATGTGTGCCTCAAATAGTTCCACAAATACCCTGAAAATTGGAAACCAGAAATTAGTTATCACCTTTATCCATCCAAATTTATTTCCTGCTTCCTGAAAGAACAAAAAGCATAGAGCTGGCAGGTCAATTTTGGGAATGAATCTACTGTGTCTCAAAGATCTACTGTGTCTCTTTTAAAAAACAAAGATATATCCATACAGGTATGTATTTATACATGTGTATAAAATCTGCATGGGAGATTCCTACATAGATCTGATATCTATGCAGTCATTGCTCCAATTGTCTCTAAGAACAAATATTCTGGTTAAATGAGCACATTTAGATACCAGTAGCAGCCTCACCAAGGCAACAGGGAGCTCTCTCAGGACAGCAAACCTTGCAAGGAACCTCACAAAGTTCTGCTAACAAAGCTCCTTTAATCCTCCCCAGGTGACAGCTGGGGAACAGGCTGTGATGCCAAAGGTAACACAATTTGTGTGATTTAAAATGGGATCAGTCTGTTTTTCATTCTTATCTGGCCACTGCCTCAAATACAGACAAAAACTGGGAGAAACTATTGAATCCATGCAAATTTACAGCTTCTGAAAGTTTTTCAGCTGCCCAGACTCACTTCAATTTTATTTTTGGTTTTTTCTCTCCTTATCCCAGCCCTGAAAAATTATCAGTCGTAACCTGCTAGAATAGAAATACAAATTACATTCAAAAAGAATTCAAAAAAGAGCTCAAATGTCCAAGGATCACCTTTGACAGGCTCACCTGCTGGCTCTGTGCCTTCACCCTGGGTCTCCTCCAAACGGGGCAGTGAATCTCTGCAGACACTCTGGGCATCTGGAAAGCTTCTAAAAGAAAATATAACTATTAAAAAGTTATCCAGGAGTGCTAGTGGGATCCAACGCAATCAACACAATGGTTTGAAGTGGAAATAAAAACACAGCTTCCAAACACTTCAAAATACAAACTGGTAAAAACAGGAAGCTCAGAGGTACCAAGAACCTTTTGACTCTGTTGCAAGCTCCACTAAAACCCAGTTAAACAGGGAAATGCCTTCAAACTCAGGATGACATTCCTTATTTCATACTTTTGGGTTCAACATCATGGAATACACCAGATGAAGGCAATTTTGAACCTCCCCAGAGAGGCCATGAACCCTGCAAGTACGAAGAACATCAATTTTAACCCTGATCATACTGCCCCTGTACTGATATCACAACACCTTGGAAGTTGCCACTGTTGGTATCTGTTGAAGCTCTGAGGTCAGGGGTTTTTTGGTTGTTTTTTTAAGGAAGAGAAGGCAATTCAGTTCCTAACAACAACAACAATAATAATAAAGTTTCTCAAAAACTTCCCTAACACAACAAATTATCATTAACACATGGATGACACTAACTTTTCCTGGCTTAAACAGACCAAGTTTAAAGCACAATACAAACTCCAACCCAAAAAGTCTGCAAAGAATTACGTGAACAAAATACCCAAACAATAACTAAGCATTTAGAAATGACTGACTGCACACAGCAATGAACTGCAGATTATTCATGAATAGCAGCATAAAGACCTTTTAATGTAGCTCATTTCATTTCAAGAACTAGTTAGGATTTCCTTCATTCCTCTCAACAGTAGAGTCCTGAGTGAAGCTCAGAAAGTCCTTCCCTTACACACTGTAATAAATTAACTCAAAATGTAGAAAAAGAAAGTTGAAACTATGCCCTTCCCAACTTTCAAATAAATAACAACTTCAAAAGCCATTTTCTACCCAGCAGTGTCAGGTACAAACAGCAGGACCAAACACCACACCAGACACCATTTCCTATCCCATATTAACAACTACACTTGTAAAACAGTTCTGTGTGGAACACTCCTAGAATTTATTATTGTTATTCACAATGAAATCATGCTTTAAAAATGCCTTAGCCACGCTGGGTCCCTTTCACAATGGTTTAGCAGACTTTGTAATTCTTCACCCATCAGAAGTGACAGTCCCAGTTCATTTCCTCCCTTCCTCCTCCTCCCCAGATTCCCGAGTCTCAGGTCACAAAAGCAGCCGAAGGAAACCGAGGAGTCATCACTAATCTTGCCTGTGAGGATATTTCCTCTCTTGTCAACAGGCATAATGGGACAAAACATGAAAGGGCTTGTCTGATAAGCAAAGAGGGGTCTGAAAATAGGCACTGGTTTGGTGAGGGCGAATGTTGATGAGAACCTGAGTAATTTAAATATAGAAGGGGATTATACTGCATTTTGAAAGGTAAGCCTGTGTCTGACACATGGTGACTTAATGAACTGGGACTGCAAAGAGAGAATGACAGACCAGGAAGAGATATTTGGGAATAAAACCAAAACAAAACACCTGAAATAACTTAAAAACATGTGTTTTATCTGCCGTCTCCAAACACTTGATAGTTCTTGAATTTTTTCCTATTTTACAGAAAAACTACATTTGATGTTTTGAAACCCAGTGAAATCTTTTCCTTTAAGTATCTTCTGAATAATAAAGCTTTTAAAATTTTTATTATTTTACAAAACAAACAAAACAAAGTCTTAGTCTAAAGATATGTGAACAATCCTTTTGAGGAAAAAAACTAGCAGAAAAGCCTTCTGAGGAAAACAGCTCTGCAGTAATGTACCAGAAGAGCCTCCTCTGAGGCTACTCAAAACTTTAATAAACATCATTAGTGACTTTTCCTAGATTAAGATCTCTTTAGTTTGCTTTAGTCTCAGCTGTTATAGGCTTCTGGTTCAGTTTATATTATGTTCCCTTTATAGAAAAATAACCAACCACCAAGTCTGAATTTCTGGATTCTTTCTGGTAATGCTTCACCAAGTAAAAGTTGTATGAGGAGCTCTACCCATCCAGCATGTTCATGAGTGTTACAGCTGGGAATACACATGCCTGGGAGCTGTTACCTCCCTCCATGGATTAAGGATCCATTTAAGAGTGAGGCTTTTTTTTGCCCTGAAAGAACAACTAAGAAATTTCCTCTTCCACCAACAATTTCCATGGATATTCAGAACCATCCCATCCCTTCTGAATGAACACATGTGGGTTTTGATGTCTTACCCTTTACCTTCTGTCAGGAGTTATTCCTTTAAAACTGAAGTAAAGCCCCCAGAAATGGTTGTGTTATTTGGAATTGTTCAAGACTGAACTGAGCAGAATTCAGAGGGACTGCCTGGCCCAAGCTTGCTGAGCACTCTGCAGCAAGGAGAGAATGCACTGCAGAACCCCAGCTCGGTGCTGAGATGCCTCAGCAAAGCCAGAATGCTTTGGAAATCTCGACTTGGGCTCCTAAATATTTTATTAAGACCGAGGTTCTGCATAAATTATTCAGTGTTCTTAGTGCGGGGCCAGCGTTTTCCAAAATCCAGCTACCAGTTTAGAAGTGGATTTTCCACGTCTGATTTCTGCCTTGGAAGTTTACAGTTCCAAAGGTAACACACAAAAACCTGCACAGATCCCACCCAGAGAGGATTTAACAGCGGAGGTCGCTGGAACGAGTCAATTAGAACAAACTGAGATCATGCTACAAAACCTTGATCAGCTAGAACTAAACAAACCATAGTTCTGCATGGCTCCATTAACAGGGGTGGGTTTTGAATGACAGCATTTCCTGATGTAATTTGGGATTTAATTTCAAGGTACCATTCCAGCAAACATGACCTCATTCAACACGCTCCCTTCACCTGAGACAGAGGCACAGAATTCTCAGGCTGCCTGGCTTACCCAGGGGTTTGGGGCCAAGCACAACCCACCTGCAGCTCCCACCACTGCCCTCTGCCAGCTGGGTGCTACTTCCCACTGGAGCTGTTCCCACACATCAGGCCAAGCTGGAAAGCAAGAATCTGAAAATTCCATATATTGGAACAACAAAGGGAAAGCTTCCCTTCCTTGAGTGTTTCCATGATTGTAATCACAGCTCTAGTGAGATTTATCTTTGCAAACCCATGCAAGCAAAGTGCGGGTGAGGTAAAATAATGAGTGATGGAAGTGACAGTCCTTCCTGCTGGGATGAGTCACCAGGAGCAAAGCATCCCATCTGGATTTGCTGGCACAGCAATTACTGGTTTTATCTAAGTGTTTTTGATAGCAGCCAGTGCATACAGTATCATTTCTTATTGTAACTACAGTAACTAAATGCCACAGCTAAAACCCTCCACTTTTATCGTTACAAAATGCTCTGCTGCCAATTACACACCAGAAAAGCTGTTTGTTCTGTTACCATAATGATGCTGAGTGATTAATGGCACTACTGACTGTGATACTAATTGCCATAGGTTTTTCTTTTGTTTTGTTTTAAGGGAATTTGGAATTAGCCTTTTCCTTCCACAGGCTCTATGTTTCCTTCTCTGCTAATTAGAATTTCTGCTTGCAACTCATACTCCAGGTCAAATACAGTCAGATATTTGCTGTCATCTAAATTCTTTCCTCACAGCAAAATTTTGAAAAAATACTAACATAAAACTGAAGTGAATCTATAAACTCAGCCTTTAATATGATAATAAACCAACGATTTCTATGGAGAAAATGTTGTACAGAAATTCTCACTTGAATAAGCCTTACAGGATACACTGGTTGTCCTGTGTAATTAGGTTAGAATCTTCTCTCTCAATTTAAAAAACTATGAAATTTAGGTTCTAGGGTATGATATATTTTGGCCTTAATTCTGCAGAGTGATTTCTAATGTCATGAATTGCACCAAGAGAATATGAACACTGTTTTGCAGCAGTCATATTATCATGAGATTTGAGGGGAAGCTATTCATTAAACAGATTATGTATAGTGGCAAATAAAAGACAGCTCATATTCTGTTTGTATTCCTATTTTTTTATCACTATTGTTCAACTCCTGTAACGTTGTCAATGTTAAGTTTTTACTCTACAGGGCTTATTAAACTTTTAAAAAATAAATCAGCTTTCTATAAACTTGCAAAAATAAACCAGTTATCAAACAGCTAGATATATAAATGGTTACTATAATATCCAGGTAAAGGTATTCCTTTAGACTTCAGCATATTTACTTATAACCCTTTACACACATATAGCAAGCCAAAGTACTTCTAAGTCTGGAAGTCACATTCACAGCTGCTCACAAAGGTTTAAACAAACATTTTTTAACTAAACCAGTCAGTAGCTCAGACTAAGCCTTCACCCAGAAGCCACATTCTCAGCTCCCAGACCTCTGCTGCTGGATTCAGGAGGATTGATACCATCTCCTCCTCCCTTCCTTGGTATTCCCATGCAGAGCTTTCTCCCATTACTCAGCTTCTCCACTCCCACCTTGCTCCTGGGTACTGTTGGACCACGTGTGTGAGCTCACCATGTACTGGAAGTATTTTTATTAATTAGCTATTTCTAATGGTTTAGTGTATGAGAAATGTTCACTGTTGAAGATTCTGCATTCCTAGTATACATTATCAGATAAGCTGGGGTTTATGTGAGACCTAATTTTAGAGGAACGGTATGTTCAAGGTGCAAGGCTCTGGCTCTGGTCAACCACGTCACTGCACTTCAGGCCCACTTAACTTCCCAAGTTTTTATTATAAAACTATTGCATGATCTTTGTGCTTTTGTCCCTTCAAAATAAACCACCCTGCAGACTGTCTGCAACAAAGAACACAGCCAATAACGGGGCAACGCTCAGTAACAGTGTCTGCTGAGCCCACACAATTTCCCTGTCACTTCCATGCTTTTTCCAAAAAGCAATCCCACTCAGCTGCTCCTGGGAGTGCTTTCACAGCCCTGCTTCCAGCCTCAGTGGCTCTCAGGAAGGCACAGGTGTGTTTTGCCCCTCACTGTGATGACCCAAAGCTCTGCAGCTCCTTCCTCTGCTTCGCTGTTCCTC